ATATAATTTATATAATTCCTTATATATTATATCTATATCTATATAGTTATATATAATTATTATAGTTATAGAATTCCTATTTTTTTGAATGTTACCCATAATTTTTATGATCCACAGAATCAGATTCCTTTGCACAATCAATAAAACACAGGTAAACATCTTTATTGTATTCTCTGCTTTCAGACAAGCGCCATCTGATGTCAGCAACATCCCTGGTGCCTGTCCTCCTCTCAACCCAGCTTGATTTTCGGGGAGTTCCCGGTATATGCACCGCTGCAACCTTTGTTTTTGCTCTACTTGCATTTGATAGATATTGTTTGATAATTTCTAAATTCGGCTTAATCACCTTTCTTTGGAATTGGTACAAACGTGGATCTCTTCCAATCAGTTGATCAAATAGATGCCTTCCAAATTTTTTAGCAGAGAGAAGTGAGTGCTTTAAGTTTTGCATCCATTTGCTGAACCATCTCAATTGATGTCTCAATAAGTTCTTGAATCCTTGTTTTTTTTATCATTTTACTGGGGGCTCTTATAACATTCCATACATCAATTGTATCAAGTGTACTTGTACATATGTTGCCATCATCATTTTCTAAGCATTTACTTTCTACTTGAGCCCTTGGTATCAGCTCCAGAAGCCTTGCTTTCCCCCCAAAAACTTTTCGTGCAGCTTGGATGTCTTCATTCAACAGCACTGGCCTTCACCATCCAGTACTCTCTGAAATGGATGGACATACTGAGACCAATTCTTTTTAGTATAGTGACCATTTATTACTTGTGACTTTTTCAACATTATTCAATAATTTCCCCATAGAATACTTAAGCATTTTAGCTCAAGGCCTGAAGTTGTCTTCAGTCTTTCAGCTAGAGAAATGGTGTGTTCTTCCTTTTTAATTTCTAACTCTAGGTCTTTGCACATTTCATTATGGTACTTAATCTTCTGAAGCCATCATTTGAAATAGTCTATTCAGCTCTTTTACTTCATCATTTCTTCCATTAGCTTTATCGACTTAAGATTCCAGGACAAGTTTCACAGTCTCTTAAGACATATATTTGCCTTCTTAGTTACTTTTTTGCTTTTTTCATGTCTGAGACCCTAAATGTCATCCCACAGCTCTTCTCCTCTTTGGTCATTAATGTCCAGTGCAGCAACTACATTCTTAAAGTGGCTTTAAATCCAGGGAGGATACATTCCAGGTTGTATTTTGGCTCTTCTGGATGTATTTTCATTTTCTGCAGCTTGAACTAGAACTTGCAAATGAGCGATTGATGGTCTTTGCTGCAGTTGGCCTCTGCTCTTGTTTTAGCTGATGATATTGAGCTTCTCCATCATCTCGTTCCACAGATATAGTCAGTTTGATTACTGTGCATTCCATCCGGTGAGATTCACATGTTTAGTCATCATTTATGTTCTTGGGGAAAAAAAGATACTCCTAATGAACATGTCATTGGTCTTGTAAAATCTATCACGCAATCCTCTGGTGTCATTGCTACCACCAAGGCCATATTTTCCAAATAGTGAACTTTCTTCTTTGTTTCCAACTTTTACCACCAATGCAAAATACCAATGCATCTTAATTTTCTGTTTGATCAATTTCAGACTATGGAAGTTGGTAAAAATCTTAAAATTCTTTATCTTTAGCTTTTAGTGGGTGGTGCTGAAATTTGAAGGCGTCCTGGTGGCATAGTGGTTGTGTGTTGGGTTGTTAACTACAAGGTCAGCAGTTCAAAACCACTAGCCCCTCCTCAAGAGAGAGA